ACTACGGTGGATGCTCAAGCAATTTGTACTTCAGTTCGTTGAATTTTGTCATTGTTGAAACAGCTTTGTGAGCAGGCGCATTGTTTTGATGAAAAGTGATTTTTTTGTGCTGGAAACCAGGTCTTTTTTCACAAATTTTTTCATTCAGCTGATCTAAAAGGCTGCAATAATATTCAGAGTTCATTGTTTCATCTTTCAGTAGATAATCAATTAACAAAATTCCTATTGCATCCCAAAAAATTGATGCCATAACCTTCTTTGTTGATCGTTGTGACTTTACCTGCTTTTGAGCTGAACAATAAGTTTCAGTCCACTGTAAACGTTCTTGTTTCAATTTAGGATCATGGTGGTAGCTCCAAGTCTCATCCATAGTTATAAAACGATACAAGAGATCGGTTTGATTCTGCTTAAAACGCTCCAAATTTTGCAGAGAAATTTGTTTTCGATTCAGTTTTTGTTGATTCGATCGATTAGTCAAACTTGTATTTTCACTAGCAATATTATGAACTTGCTCAATGATTTCTGTTGCGGTTGCGGTTTTGGGTCGCCACGTTTAAATTCACCAGCCCAAAATTGAACGGTGCGTTTTGAAGGTGGGGACTCCTTATGTACTTCTAAAAATTGTTCATAAAATTCCTATGCTTTTAAACCTTTCAAAACTGCGCGATTTTAAATTTTTTCCATATTAAAAAAATACTCTGACACGTCAACTTCAAATTGCTTGTAAACCAAGAATTAATTGACGGAAGAATTGTAACTTTACATGTGTTCACACGACAGCTGTACTACCTTGATAAAAAAATACATTTGCAGCTAGTTGTGTTATTTCTTTGTGAGACCAACCAACTTTTCGACCAACCTGTATTTGGGTTTAGGTGCGTGTATGTTCTTTCAATTTCTTTGCTTATACTTAGAACAGCATAAATTAAATTGGTAAATCCCCAGCTGATGTATTCTGAGTCGTTTATTTCTTTTGCAAACAGGTGTATGCTCATAAATTTGAGTATTTATGTATGCTTAAGTATGATTTAACTATTAAGAGGTGCTAAATGTAAATTACATCTTCATTTTATTTACATAACTATGCCTGAAATTTGCGAAGCAGATAATGAACATCTTATTTGATATCTAAGCCGGATTTGTTGCTCGAAAATTCCTAGAAGTACCATGCTGATTTTGCTATTAAGTACTCAAATTCTAAGATTTTTTATCTCAAGGAGAAATTAAATATGTCTTGCTAATAAATATATGCATCTTTCATGAACTTTTGCCTTCGTATATTTTAAAAATAATTTCCCACAGCGGCTACGCTACCATCTTTTACCGAAGTCAGAGTTCTTCCAAATGTCTCCTTCTTTTATTATTTTGATGTATGACCTTTTTATTTCTCATTATTATTTTTTATACCCTGAAGAGGGTATACTAGGTTAGTCACGATGTTTATAACACCCAAACGAAAACTTCAGTAAATTTAACCATGTTTGTCTGTCTGTCTGTATATATTCGAACAAGTCCCTCAGTTTTTCAGATATCGATCTGAAATTTTGCACCCGCCATTTTCTCACCAAGTCAGAACCACCAATATCGGACCACTATAGCATATAGCTGCCATACAAACTAAACGATCGAATCAAGTGCTTGTATGGATAACTTTTTCATTTGACGAGATATCTTTGCATGGGTTATTGTTTAAGGCAATGCTGCAATCTCCGAAGAAATTGTTTAGATCGAAACACTATAGCATATAGCTGCCTTACAAACTGAACGATTTACTCTTGCTATATAAATTTCAAATTTCTTCGCTTGACGACGAAAAGCGACATTGTTGGCATGTTAATTGGCAAAGCGGACTTTCCAAAACAAAAAAAAATCACTTAAATTTTTAATTTTATTTGAAGTTTTTGCTATTTACATTTTAACATTTTTTTCGAAACTATTTAGTTATTTATTTTTTGTTTTTTAAGAAATATAACGGCACTCTTAGATGTACATATTTGTGTATATTGCAGCATATACCATTTGTATATAATAGAATCACCTCACCCTCCTCAAAATAGCAACAGAAGATACTGGCTTCGTCGATTTCGATTTCATGCTGCTCACGTAAAGCTTAGCATGTTACTGTTTAACTTGCGATTGATTGCTTTCTGTGATTTAAAGGGTATTTGCTCTGCGCAGCCATGCTATTATATACACATGTGCATTTATCTACAAAAAATTATGCAACTATAAACAATCTGAAATTTATTAAAATGCTGTGAGAATTGCCTGTGATTTGTTTATGATATAAATTCCATATGCGGCAAATGTTTAAATAGGCGCTTTATTTATAAAGGAAACGATTTATAAAAGAGCAAAAAATAATCGGCCAAAACACGTAGGAAAATATATTCAATTGACAGTTGTTGTGTTTTATAAATAATTCATTAGTGTTTTTTTATTTTATTAATTTTTTATTTATAATATTCTGTGACATTTTATTAATGAATTAATCGAATTAAGCAAATATAAGCAAAATTATAAACATATACTTAGAGATATTTTTATTTTCGTTATTTCAATGTACTCAAAACTTTAAAAATTTAGACGTTTTCATTATATAGTTGTAACTTTTTTTTTTTTTAACATAACATAACTCACGAGACTGTTGAGTCATATATGTACATACACAAATTTCGAGTGGTTTCAAATAGTTATGGAGATCTGAATGTATATATATGCATTTTTAAACTTGGTGTAATCGGTTTACAAAATTTTAAACACTTTTTTCTCGAAAAGTTGTTTTGATTGTGTGTACGGACGAAAATATAATTAATGAGTTTTCCTAGTTGTATGAATCTAAAAATATTTTAAAAATTGCCTACACCTCTTATTGTTTGCAAAGCATACGAGCTGAGTTCAAAATATTGCCTACATTTTGGCGCTGTAGTTTCCACTTTATATCTTTTCTGGTGTAAGAGGAATTTCACAACATGACAATGATCCTTATGGTCCATATTTTACAAAGAATATCTTTACAATTGTCTACACCTCTTGATATATGTAAAGATTCAGTATGAATTCAACATGTTGTCTACATTTTGGCGCCATAGTTTATATTTTGTACACCATGTAGTGTAACAGGACTTACACAATATGACAATGATACTTAAATCCCACAGAAAACCCTTAGTAGACAGAGAACCTCACCTGGTGTTCAAATACTCACAACACGATAATAATCCATATACAAGTTTACTAGAGCAGACCCTTGGTAGACAGAGGAAGAATCCTGGTATTAAAATACACTTACTTATGCTCAGAGAAAACACCTTTTCGACAGAGGAGAAAGAGTAATAAAATTTTGCGTTCGTTGCGTCGGGGAATTTGAATTCTCATCAGAATAATTCGTTGAACTGAGTATATCCATATTGTATAGTGTGTTTCCTCGCTTGTGAGAAATATTAAATACTTCTGGAAGATGAATTGTCATAAGAGTTACTTTTTCCTCTTGAATAAAGTATTAGTACTTTTATCAAAGCTTGTCCTTCTGCTTATTTCTGCTTATACCCTCCGTAACAAGTTCTCACCACTTGTGGTTGGCAGCTAGTTATGTTTTTGTCAAAACTCAAAGTGCAGTGGTGCGAACTTTTGCATATAAAAATTACAGTGGCAACTGAAAGTTCCTAAACAACATTAAAATGCATTACAGGCAAATAAAAAAGTTAGCATAGTAAAATGTTGAATACACTTACGGTAATTTAGGCAGGTACAATTGCACTAAATTCAAAATGTACTATACAAACATTATATTATGAAAATTACAGGGGCATTTAAACTAAAATCTAAGCAGCATTTAATGAAACATGAACTCAAAGCGGTCAATTACACTTACTATTGTATCCATTTCAATGACCATGCGTGTACATGCGTGCCAGGTTATGCCCAGTTAAAACCTTGTTCTTCTACTAACTGCAGGAGAACCCAGTAACTTAAGTGTTTTTGCGTGCGTAGCGTTTCGTCTTCGAGCTTTTTCGATTTCAAGGCGAAGACGATAACAACTGCTTGCAACCTAAGCGCTTTTGCTGCGTTTTGGCATGTGCATGCAACACTTACGGCTGTAGTCATGTGCAAATAATCTTGCTTACATGCACTTGTAATACTTTTGTAAGCATATATTTACAAATTTAGATTTGTGATGGTTTGTTATTAAAGTTTCTACGCATTCGCCCTCCAAGTGAGTAGCCGTCACGCCCTTCCTCAGTTGGCGTGTTGCTTTGCGAATTCGGACGTTGTAATGAGTTTGTACTTGCTAATTTGTTATTGTTGTTGCAGTGCACTATTGTTGTACTGCATGTAATGAAGTTATAGTTTTAATTACTCTGCTAATTGCTTAATTCTACTCACACATTTATACAAATATTCAAATATTTGTTGTAATGTGATTCATTAGACTTCAATGTACTTGTAAATATGCTAAATAACAGTTAAGTTTGTGCTCATTAACCCACTTCCAGTGGTTAAGTTGAGTTTATTACATTTTCGAATTTTCGAATTAATTACATATATTTATATACAACAGTGGCAATGAAACTATTGTAGATTTTTGTTTTATTTCTGCCAATATCTTTGGATTGTGAGTTTATGTTAGTCAGTAATATAATATTTACATACAATTCCGACTTTAATTGAGAACTTTGTTTAATGATTATTATTAGTGTATTATAATAATTATCATTTACCTGGTTAGGAATAGTTATATTTAAATGATTTTATTACTAATTCGTATTTCTTTCAAGATGTGGAGTTTTGAAAATAGCAAAATTTTGTTTAAATATCCAAGAAAAAAGAATTTTTGTAAAATAATATTTACTTTTTTTTCAAAGTTCCACCTCCAATACCACAAATATTGTAAATACTGCAAACGCACAATCCTAGAATTTTTACACAATTTACATAATTTGTACACAAATCAAATTTTACACACATTTTCACTTATTCACGTTTTTACGTTCTTCTAGATTTTAACCGATCTGGTTCAAGGCGAATTCATGCAACTTGGCTCAAAGGAAACTGAAAATGAACGATTCGCTCACTATTTAACCAAGACATACAGGAAGACGGCCTCGCTCATAGCGAACGCGCTGAAAGCGGTAAGTATATTGTATGGGTAGCGGGTAAGAGCCAAAGTCGCAATTGCATAAAGCGGTGCACACATGGATATATACCATACCATACATATACATATGTACATATTTACACTGCAGTTTGATAAATCGTCTGTCTGACAGCAAGTGCGCTTGCTTGAACAAGCGCTTGAAATGTAGCGAAACTAGTAACGAAAATACCGACATTGCAGTCAAGCGTAGGCCACGAGCGAAAAAAAAACTTTTAATAATGAACGAATTTTAAGTTTCGAAATGTTTTTGGTGCATTTTTTTAATATTTTTATTTTATTTAATAAACAATTTTTTTCTTTTAATTTTATTTTTAAATCTACTTTTTTATTTATTAATATACTTTTTTTTATTAATTTTCGCTTTTATTATTTACTTCATTTCAGTATTTCATATATTGTATTTCACATATTTTTATTAAAATATTTTGTGTATTTTTTTTATTATCCAGAAAATACTATATCGAGTGTATTCAATATTTACTTATTGTATATAATATTTCTAAATTGAAATTTATAAAACACATTATTGGAAAACAATAAAACATAAATTTTAAAAGAAAACCAAATAAATAAATTATATAAAGACAAAACATTTTAAAAGAATATTTAATTTAAATATGGCATCTCTTTTATGTTATTATTTAATTAAAATTTAATTTTTTTTTAAATTTGTTTGTTATTTTTTCTTTGCTTAAAAAGCATATGCAAATAAAATTGGATAATATTTTTCGTATTCTTTTAATGTCGATTACTATATTTAAAAATATTTATATATATGTATATTTCCAGTACTAAAAATTGTATATTTCTCATTTAACTTAAAAATTATTTTTCGACATATGTTTAAAAATGAAAAAAAAAAATTAAAAATAAAAAAAGTAGTTTAAATTAATAAAAATTATTTAATAATAATAAATACATTTGTTTAAATTAATAATAATGGGATAAAATAAATGAAATAAAAATTATTTAAAATTAAAAATAACAATTTTTTTTGTTAGACAATTAATATTTTAAAATCCTTAATTTTTTAAGTATTATATAACTTAATTGTTAATAATGAGCGTAATATTTTATTTATTTAAATTTATATTATGTGCAAATAGTTCTATTCTATTGTAATTATTATTAATATTTGGGTTTTAAGCTGTAATGTTTTTTTTTTAATTTTTTATTATTTCTTATTTTTTCTTTTAATTTAAGTTATTAATTTTATTTTGTATTTATTTTAGAATTTTAATTATAAAAATCTGTTACTGTAAAAATTTCTTAAATTTCACTTGCTTTCAAAAAAAAATATTTATATTTAATGTATTATTTTATTTATTTTTTACCCACAGACGGCTATAATCGCTGAAGCAGATGAAAACATCGCCGAATTGGCATTCCAATATGGACGTAATGTGGGCTTAGCGTTTCAACTGGTCGACGATATGCTGGACTTTGTCTCAACCGCCGAAACAATGGGTAAACCAACAGCTGCCGATTTGAAATTGGGCCTAGCCACAGCGCCGGTGCTCTTTGCATGCGAAAAGGTGAGATTTCTTTTAACAAAGCTTATATAAAACCTCTCATATTTTTGCCGAAAGACATGTGCACATATTTTCCAAGTGAACACAATCACAATTTTTGCAATGATCATGAACCCTCGTGTAATTTAATTAGCTTAATTTGAAATTCTACAAATAACTAATATATTGTATAAATATTTGTATGCACATAAATCTCAATATTGAGCTATAAATGGCACTTCCTTATTTTTTCACTTCTATGCGGTTTATATACCAGAATTTCGACAACAACAAGTCATGTTTATAGCATGATAACATCAGAGCATTTATTCATCTTCCGTTCCCTTAATACCACCTCTCGTAAATGTGCACCACGCCGTCGCTTTATGAGCCGCTACGCGTTGCATACAAGTGTCAAATAAATTACAGATTAATGCTGTTGCTAGTCAAATAAATCTCGACACAAACACTTAATTATGCAATTTTGCATGGTTGCATTCATGCTCGCCATAATGCAGTTCCTTATGTTCTCTAGCTCGGCTTGTCAGACGCATATTGATCGTTGAATTTTGCACTTTATTACACTTAAATGCGTTTATTGTTTCTTTGTACATATTTATATATATAAATACAATGTTGCTTGCTAAGATTTATGACGTTTAATTTGAATGTAATAAAATTGTAGTGCGTAGAACATAGTATGTAAGTATATGGAGATGGTGGAGGCTTATTGTTTTATCGACCTTCATTATAAGTGGAGGAAATTGTAAAATTATAATAATCTGGAGACACTTTTTGCTAAATTTGAGGGCTGAAATCGAAAATATAAAAATAAATAAGGAAAGCGTAGTAATCTCTTTGTGGTAGATGGATGCCTAAGAAGCTTTCAACGAAGCGCCCGGAATTAGTGGCGAGTCAGTATCGATGTGTGTGGTCTGGCGTTGTCCTAATGGAACAGAATTCTACTCCTATTGGCCATAGCTGGCCGATATGCGATTTCTTCCTTCGCACGGTCCAATTGTTGATAGTACAGGTCCGTATAACGAGTTTGACCGTAGGGGAGCAGCTCATAGTAGATGATTTCCCGTCAATCCCACCAAACACATAGTAAAGCCTTCCTAGCCGTCATTCCTGGCTTAGCCGCAGTTGGTGCCGGCTCACCGCGACACGAACACAACCGTTTTCGGCTCAGCAGCAATTTGCAAAAGGAAGTTCGTTTCATGAGGTCCTTTTGTTTCCGATTTCCATCACTTTATTGATGCTTTCGACAATATAAAGACTTCCAGAGCGTGGTGTATCTTTGTCACCTAAATTACCGGCATCGAATCGACAAAACGGAAATTGCGCTTGTTGTATCGTTATTAGAACCATAAACATTATCCCCGGCTCTCACCTCTATCGAAAATATAATGTAAAATATGGCGTATTTTCTCTTTGCAGTTCATCTTTGCAGCGTAATATCAGGATTGTTTAAAATAAAAAAGTTAGAAGGTTGCCATCTGTTAGACAATATAAAGTAATAAATAAATATAAGATAAGGAAAGATTTTAGGAGAAGAGTAGTAGTGTAGAGGTTCAAAAGGTATAGCTCATCAAATTGAAGTTTAGTTCCTTAATTGAAGATCAACTAAAAATGTTTAAGAAGGTCTATAGTTTAAAATATCTTGAAAAGGGATTATTAAAAGCTTTAAGACGATAAAAAGGCAACATCGCAGCTTTAGTACTCATTCTCTCGTTATTTTGACAACTTATAGTTAACAGCTGATAATAACCGTGAGTTAATTTAACAGAAAAGTGTTAGTAAAATAACGATTAACAGTTGTCAACATAACATTACCCTATCGCATAATATTATTCTCACCCACACGCACAATTATTAATTCGTACTCGGCATTACGGCACTTTAAATGCAATGCAAGTTGAAACAGATAATAAAGCATTAAAATAGCAATGACTCAAATTCAAATCAAGTATGTGTGTGCCTATTTATTCGAAACAAAAACACACCGATGCTACGCAAGTCCAAAAACAGCAGTGCATCATAAAGTTATTTAGTTGGCATCATATATTATGGAATTTTGCAGTAACACCCCTCTAACACCGCTACAAAATCTGGTTACCCTTCCACGGCACTAATTACCGCTAACACTCTGCTGTGCCACTAACCACGCAACGCAATCAAATTGAATATTTTTTCGAAAATTGATATGCGAAGCAATTTGTATGGACGTGAGGTGGTTTTTAATCCATAGCAGGTGAGCAGCGATTGGCAGCGCGGCAGCAGAATAGCAGGAGAGCGACAAACAACAACTGATATTATGCATCAAAGGAATTGCGCGCGTGTATGTGACACTTTTGACGGTAGTGACAGGTGCGGTGCGACAGTTACAAAAATGGAATAACGCCAGTCGCGCATCGCTTACAATGACAATGTCTGTTATAGCAACAATTGTAGGGTGTCACTCACTCGGAGTGTAATAGTTCAGTTTAGGCTAAGCTTGACTTATTTTGAACCCCAACACTGCTGTGAGTTTGTATTGTTTTGTGGCTGCCAGTAGGGGCATTGTTTGCCTTGTTACGCTGCGCTTATTCACTGTTGGTGCTTTATCGAAATCGAAATCTGACACTGAATTGCCGCTACAATTGCCTGCTTTTAGGCGCTTTAGGTATATCTCTATCGAATTATTGTGTGTTCTGTTAAAAAGGTTATGGCGCTTAGAATCGATTTTTATCGCTAATGTAAATATCTGTTTAGCTTTGAAATTATTCTGATTTGGCGTTACTATTTTATGAGTCTTTTGTGGAAATGGGCTCGTATTGGGATTGATCAAAATTGAACTCTTTATTAAGGATTTAAAACATTTTGTTTTGCCGTAACATAGTGCCTACCTTTAGGCGAAGCATACATTTTTAACAAAGTCTTGCACCCAATATGTGCAAATTAGTGTTTTGGGGGTTTTAAAATATTTTTTTTTGGAATTGACACAGTCAGAAATATTTTTATTTATTTTTTATTTAAATACGAATTTATTTTTTACTTCGCACATCTAACTAAATTTATATTAGCATTAGAGTTTCACAAATTCTAGGGTTTTTAAAATCTTGTAAACAAATTTTGCAATATTCTAGCAAGCGTCATGTCCTGTTTTACGAAGTAGTAGCATATTATGTCTGAAAATAGTAAAAATTGGTGCCTACTTTTCGTCGAAAAATCAATTTTAGTCAAGTTTCACACCCAAAGAAATATGTTGTGGTAAATAAAATAAATTTATTATAGTCAGAAGGGCCTTAAATCATTTTTTTTTTTAATTTTTACATCTAGACAAGTCTATATTAGTAATAAACTTTGACCAATACCATGGATTTTTAAAAACGATTAAATAAGTGTAAAAATGTTCACCCACTAGGTATTTTGCTCATATTTTGTTTTACGAATTGGTATCATTTTATACCTGAAAATAAAAAAATTATGCCTACCTTTAGGCGAAATATATATTCTAGCAAAGTCTCCCATACAGTATGATTATAATATATAGGGAATGATATTATATGGGGAATAAACTAAATATATAATAGAACGCATATTTTGAGGAAAAATTTCCTTTAATTCTGTGTTTTGGTCTTTCTACATGTAATTAAATCAATATAATATTCGTCTACTAACATCAATACAATATTTAAAAAAAGAAAAAGAACTCTTCTAAAATGTATCTCCCTTCTTCATTACAGTATCCCGAACTTAATCCGATGATAATGCGTCGTTTCAGTGAACCTGGCGATGTTGAACGTGCCTTCGAACTAGTCCACAAATCGCACGGACTCGAACAGACGCGCTTCTTGGCCAAGAAGCACTGCATCGAAGCGATACGATTGGCGCAGGAGCTGACCGAGTCGCCATATCAGAAGGGTCTGCAAGTGGTCGCGGATTTAGTCATTAATCGTATGAAATAATAGCTTAAGTTACGGGTGCAGGGGGCTGCTGGTGCAACACATAATAGTGCAACATAACACCAGAACAAAAGCAAAACAAAATACACAAATCAAAAAAAAACTCTTGCAAATGTTAAATAATTTAAATATACACACTTATATACATTTTTATAAATATACACACACATAATATATAATTTGTAATTATATAAACATAATTATAAAACGATAAACCAAGTCCAAAATTAATTATGAATAGATTTTATATGCAAATGTGCAGAAATGAAAAAAATTAAATTAAAAAAAAAAGCAAAAAAGGTAAAAAACTGTAAAATACACAAATTAAGTAAATAATAAATATTGTTGTCAAAGCACAGAAGCGCGAAAAAATGAAAAAATAAAAATAAAATAAACTGTAAGCGTGTTATATAAGATAACTGTGTATATTGCAGTGATAACTGCAGACCAAACTACAGTTAACAACCAAGCGTAGCAAAAACTATGCGTTTACTGTTTTTTGTTTTGCTTATCTTGTGTAAAGCATATATATAGTTTAAACATACAGAAATATTATTTTAATAATTTTATGCATTAGTATGTAAGTCTTGTTGACATTGTAAATAATTTATGGTAATGTAAAGAGGAGATCGAAAAACAGAAAAAATACAAATAAATATATATACATTTAAAAAATATATATATACGCAGGAAATAAGTTAAACCAAACCGAAAATATTTAATGTGTATATAACTAAATACATAGCAATGTTTATATATTATATGCGAAAAAAAAACAAAACAAAACAAAACAACAAAAACAAAAAACAGCAACTGACATACTTAAAAAGCCAGCAAATAAACAAGCAAACAAACAAAACGGGAGAAAGGTTGGTTAAAGTTAATTTAGTTTGTATAAAAAACAGCAAAAACAAAAAGAAAATAAACAATTATATATATATATAAAGTAGACAAGAAATAACTGTTTATACGCATGTATATACATAACTATTGTACAAATGGGACAGTTGACGCGGTATACTTAAAAAGTATAATTATGGAAGCAAATATGACGAATGTGTTCTTCAAATATTAAAAAACCTTACAAAAGATGATTGAAGAGGAATTTTGATAAATTTTTACATCTATATATAGCGGTAAAGAACTATGTATATAGCGTATAACAAATTTTATGATTTCTAAAAGCGAAAAATCTTTCTTTGTTAGCTGTTTAGAGCACTTATTCCAAGTGAACGGTGAAATGATTGAATATTTGAGTTAAATTTCAACTAAATCAATAATAAAAATCAATAATTAAGCGTTTGTGCGCACTAAAAATGTTTTTTGAAAATATATACGAATACTCACAATAAAGGGCACAATAGACTATAGGTCGCGGTGCATACCTCATTTCTTTCTACTCACAAGAAAAAAATTGGTGGAAGTGAGAGATTTAGAAAAGGGCCCACATGGAAAGAGAAACCGAAGATACAAAATTAAAAAAGAAAAAAAGAAAAAAAAATAAAAATTATGCAAAATTTTGTATAAAAGTAATAATAACTATTTAATAAAATATTAAATTTAGACAAAAGGCAGGTTAGCTCTCCATCTTTCCAATTGGATAATGTACAGCTATTATTCGACGTGCGCACATAACTGTAATTTAGTCAAAAATATAATTTGTATTTTATATTATTTCAATTAAATTGATTAAATATTATTTCAAATATTATTTTAAATATTGTTTTGTTATGTAATATATATTTTGAAAATCTTACAAATCGCATGTCTACTTATATAAAATTGTATTTCATTTAAAAAACTTTACAATTGCGAGTACATATATACAAGCACGTGACATATATTTACAAAAAACATTAAGATATCTAAATATATGCTTGTATGTGCGCATGAAAAATGCATAATATAAATAGTTGTTTTTTACAAAATAAATCAATGAGAAATGTACGAATTGTTATGCTGACTAAAGAATAATAAAATGTTTTTAAAACCAAAATCAATTTTTTTACTGATGTAAAATGTGTGTACATATGCTAATACATTAAATATTAAAAATATTTATACCAGTCTGTTAATTGTTTTTATACCAATATATTAGTTGCTAAAATGTATACCATCATAAGGTTATACCGACTTAAAACAGTTTATTAGCTGTTGAAATTATACCAGTTTAGAGGTTGTTAAAAGTTATAGCAGCTGACTGTTATACCTTTTATATCTGCTTATTAATTGTGAAAATTTATACAAGTTCAATTTTATACCAGTTAACTATGTTGTGGTTTTAATTAACTTCGAAACACTTCAACGGAACGTACTACACTGTCAGAACAACAACATTTTTGTTGCAAAGTAATGCCCGTTATAGCTTTTTCATTATCACATCTTTGCGTATACATACCTATATAAAAATAAATTCTCTGTTTTGCATTCAAATTAGTTATTGTTGTTGTAAAGATTAGCGGTTACCGGTGGTATCGACATCTACAATAGTATCCGCATTGTAATTGTGGAAGCAATACTCGGGTCCTGGAAGTAAATCGAGATTTTTATTTTTATTTTCGTTGGTGATTTGATCAGCAAGTCATCATTTAAAAAGAGGAAGATTTGTCATACATAAGTTAAGAAGTACTGTAGATACATACTTGTTTGCGACCATCACCTCTTTTTATGGATTGGGACTACTGACCTCTTTATTCGTTTTATTAAGAGGTTGTCTATTATATAGAGATATATATATAGACCCTCAGCTTCATAGGATATAACAAAATTTCCATGCAGATATCAATGGCATAGATTCATCTTATTTTGAGGATATATGTTTAGTTTATATTTGTTTCAAAGATATCGTTTTATTGCGGTCGATTGCAATAAGAGCAACTGCAGGTCTTTAGTCAAGTTATATATTTCTTGTTGTTGTTATAGCAGCAGGAAATTTTTTTAAAACAATTTTGACCTATAATGCCGAGTTGATAGTCTTTAGCCGGATAAAAATCTGGGTTCAGTTGTGCAGGTCCAACAGTCTACGGTCGCTGCTGTCTTCGGTTTCTGGTGTTTGGCTTCTCCTCGCCGTAACGTAGGAATGCTCCTATGAAGTAGTTTATCATCATTCTGCAAGCCTACCAAGGTTCCAACCGAATCTAATCCGATTCGGTTACCTCAGAATTACAAGTGTCTTGTCGGAGTTTCGGTGTCCACTTTAAACGTCAACTACAGTGAGAAGTAAGTGAAAAGCGGAAAGCCATATAATGTTGGGTAATATAGCCCTAAATGTCATGTTAGTCGGGTGTCGTTAGAAGCCTTTGATCGTTATATTTAACATCTGATATCATTCCACTTGGAAATCAAGTTTGCTTTAAGTAAATATGTTTAAGAACTAAATATTAAAGAAATGTGTACTTTTAAGCAAAAAGTGTTATAAAATAAGGCCGAAATAGGTTGCGTGCTTATATAGGTATATAACGTAATTCCAAAATCAATATGTGTGTTTACAAAAAGTCAATGCTGCCAGCTACATACTGTTTACATTCAGCCGCTGCCTGACGGAGTGACTGATCTGTAAGGGCCAGTAGCCCAGTTATGGCACAAAGTAGCAATGTGAGGGGTCAAATATATTGACTCCATGAAGCGTTTCCATCGCGTGCCTGTGTGGGAGCGTATTAAATTGATGGAAAGTGTCGATGAGCTGGCAACAGCTGGCATTTGTTCAAGTGAATATTCCATATATTTAATCCTTTCCACAAAAGGCCACATGACTTAAGTGCAGTTATTGTTTTTGTTTGACGCGTTTCCGACAAAGAATGATATGAGCTGTTTGCTCTCAAAGCCCCACAACGTTACTATGAAATCTGTTTTGATGTATATATGCCTGCATTACTAGTTAAGTGCCAAGTCCATCGCTGAATACGAGCACATAAAATGCAGCTGTTGTTTTAAGTAAGAGTGTAGAATGTAGCTGACGTCTAACCGCTTTTGTTGAGCACTACGAATTCTTCAAACACTACTATTGTACTTTGTTGTTGGAAAATCACTCTACATTTCAGTAAAACGCACAAAAGCAGCACCAGCAGCGCTTTGGCACTCTATAAAAGGAATGAGATTGATGTAAAAATCGAACAAACTGGCAGCGCCTAGGTTGGAAGGAATGACTCGTGACAGTGTACTCGTACCAGTACGTTTGCGCATACCCGATGTGTGTGTTAATGTAAACGAAGTCAGTTCGATAGGTCAGTTTTTACAATGAGTTGTATTTTACCAATTTTTTTCTGTGACCGATGAATCGGTGAACCGATGCCGTGATATGCAATTTCAACTTCGGGAGAGAAGGAATAGAAAAAATTTATTTTTTAGCACCGAAAACATGAAATTTAATGTTACTCTCACTGAGAGCAAGGTTTAATATTTTCCGATGAGAGTATACAGCACCTGCCGAAAGAAATTTTTTATTTATATAGGCTCGATAAATTCGAGTAGAAATTGAGTTTTAAGGAAAGACTGTTAAAGGAAATGAATATTTCGAATTTGGCTGGTGAAAGCAACAAAAAAAAAAGAACTAGGAGTTTTCAATAAAAAATTAATGTCTTGCCTTTTGTTTAAGAATTATTGTATCTACAGTAACTAAGAAAACGGTTAGGTGGAAAAAGTCTTCTAGTAAAGTTCCTGTCTAAAAAAAATCGAAATATAGATGGGAACTGGGCAAGAAAAACGGTATGTTCTAAGAAAGAACTAAAGGCAACAGTAACAATAAATCAGACAGCCAAAAGCCTCTGCTGGATTGTTGGAAATGTTGTTCAACGGTGATACTCAAAAGCACGGTGCACTATTTCATCTCATTATGCCCCACTCCACCTACCTCCTTCATATCATAGCACAGGAGGTTGCAGTTATTGCCTCGTGAGCATTCATGGATGAGCAAAACGCGCCGGAAGTCCTACTTACTGTCCGCACTCGCTGCTTAATGCGGGCTTAGAGTGCTTAACTCGTCATGCATACATTAACATCTGTACTTCTATTATGTGTATGTATGCTGGTAATTATTGAAATGTGCTAAGGTATTTGTGTGTGTGCGTCTCTGTACACTCTAAATATCAACAAGTACTGTTTATCTTACAGCTAACTAAGTAGCTGCCCAGTTGTTCAAGTGTGTGTCGATGGCGTGATTCAATTAAGTGCTCGGGGTATTAAAATGTAACGGATATATACATAAATAAAGCAATCGGAAATAGAGCAATCGCTGTATTGGCTGAAAGCGAGAAAATATTTCAAAGAAATAAAAAATATTCGGTACAAGGATATATTAATGGGGTTTCTCATTTATTACAAATTGTAGTAAGAGAAAACGATTGCATTTCAAGTATTTAACAGATAGAAAATTAGTTTAGGTATTTAAATAGTAGATGTTGTCTTGAATTGAACCAATATTAACTAGCTATAAGGATAAAGGAATTAATATCATAGTAAAAATAGGTGAACGAGTATTGTTCAATAATCAAATACATTTATGAAGCTGCAAAAGGGTCGTGCGGTCATAACCGAATAAATAGTTATAACGGGTGTTTTTTTCGAGGCATAGAACTTTAAGTTGGCATTACTGTTCAAAATGGCGACCGATTTAACAGCTGTAAAGTGATTTATTCCGTACGTACTTCTTAAAAAACGATGATGGCCAAGAACGTTACAGTCCATGATGATCGGTATAGAGGCATGATTACTAACTTTTTCATTCCTGAATTGAACAACCATGATGACTAGGAGCTATGGTTCCAACAAGACGGCGCAACATGTCACATAGCTCGTGCCACAATCGATTTATTGAAAGACCCGTGACCGCCTAATTTCATGTTTTGGACCTGTGAATTGGCCTCCAAGATCTTGTGATTTAACAACGCTAGACTACTTTCTGTGGGGTTATGTAAAGTCATTGTTCTATACGCATAAGCCACAAACGCTTAACCATTTGGAAGACAACATTCGCCATGTTATTGCCGATATACGGCCACAAGTGTTGGAAAAAGTCATCGAAAATTGAACGTCCTGATTGGACTACATCCGAGCCAGCCAATGTAATGCCACAAGATTAGCTTTCGGATAAAAAAAATTCATGTCAATAGAATAATCCATCGTTGTTTTATTGCAATTTAAAGTTCTATACCTCTAAAAAAACACCCTTTACATATTATTTTCAAGTTTTATTAATAACTATCATTAGCATCCGAAAGTAGCTGTTAGATTTTTTTCAGGCTGAAAGCGAAAAAAATATCACATTAAAGGCGCTCAGTGAAAATGCATTACGTTTCTTCTAAAACCTCTTTTTAACGTCAATTTCGTCTGAGCCAAGTGAGCTGTGGCTATGTGTTATTCGACGAATAACTTCTGAACTTCGTATTCGCGATATTTAGATTAAGATCAACCTAAAGTGAGATATATCATATATGAAATAGACTGAACTAAAGGGGCTAAATTTCGGTCACACAAAACGGGATAGCACCACACGAGTTAACACTACATTTGATGACATTTTACACCACCAGAAAACAAAAACAAAGGTCCCCGCGGCTGATTCACCTCATTCGATAAGAAAACGATCTTGTGCGCTACGGGCAGCAACATTCATTTCCATGTTCATTGTACATATGAAAGATAATACATTTTGACCAATATAAATAAATGGTTTAACGTCAAGGAGAAAGTCGGAAAATATTAAGTTGAATACAAGTATATGTGGCTTAGGCCAAGGAACGGACTGATTGCATTATTTTTTGGCATTGCTCAATTGTAAGTACTCGAGAACATGTTTCTACGCAATTTCATGAAGATAGCTCACACAGTGGTATATCGGGGCTATGGTTAGTATTGACCAATTGCATTCATTCATACCTCAAAGATGGAATATGGTATAAAGGCAACCGGATGTTTTAATATCTTTATATTAACATAGGTATATGGGTGCTAGGGGACCCATTTGACCCCACGTGATCCCATTTTCCCCTTCTTTGACAG